CTACTTTGAGAGCGCTAGGAAAAAGAACTGATCTTGAAATATTGATATTTTTTAGCTTTTTACTTTTATTTGAATCTATACCTTTAGATCAATAATTTTGGCAACTTGTTGATAATGGGATTCAATTTGAGATCATTTTAGAGTTTTTATAGATGGAGATACTTATATTTTTGCATACGGTTGAGTGCCAGTGAGTTGTAGCCACCATTCTTTAAGCCTGTATAGTTCGTATATGGAATCCTTGCATTAGTTGTGGGTTAATAGTATTGTAACTTAATTTCTTTTATTGTAACGTTTATGTTTTATTTATCTGATTTCCAACTAATTTCTCTTCTGTGGAACCTACATTATCTCAGAATTTGTTTGAATTATCTCTTCCCTCTCTTTGTTGGTGGAATTGTGCCTGTAGACCGATCTCAAGTCTGTTCATATTTCTGATGTAGATGTCCTTGGAAGATTGGGCTTCTTTGGATAAAGACCACTCAATATCTTTGCTTGGAGCTATTGAAGCTTTGAAGGCTAGCACTCTTCGTCTTCCGGTTGTTGGAGGAGCAATTGTATGTGGCCTTTGGTGTTCATTTCTTGTTGCTAATGTTCTAAACCTTGTCTCAGGTGTAAAACTAATTTAGTTTGACAAAATCAAGAATCAATTTTGACAGGCTGACATGCAAAGCTTGAAAGATGCTATAAGTTCCACAGTTGATGTGATGCAGACAATGGCATCCTCAATATGTTCACTTCTGCCAAAGGTAATCTCATTTACTCTTGTTTACAGCATGCTTTACCGTGAATGTGGTGCCTTTTCTGAATTTGCTATCGAGTGCAATTAAAATTTGACAATGGCATTGTGAATTATGATTTATTGAAAAAATACACCAGCGCTGAAAACAAGTCCTGACAGAGATGATATGGGTGGAATTTCCTTAATTTTATCCCCTCGTTTATTTGGGTTGTGAGGAAGAAGGAATGGTAGCTTTTGAGAATAAAAAAATGTGGGAAAACTGCTTCTGTTTGTATTTTGCTGCAAATAATAGCCTATTGGGGTTGATTTTGCTATCTTGTGCATGTTTGGCAAAGCTTAGAATTGCAGCTGGTCAAACTCTATTTTTATCCACACATTTCGTAGGACGCAAAAGCTTTGGCAAACATGCTCAAGAAGTCAAAGATACCCTACCCCTCATCCACAGTGAACATTAGTTGTCTTTGGCTGTGTTCCTTTTCCAGTTGTAATCAGCATGGACTAAAAAGTTTCCATTTTGTTCTTTCGACGCAATCTCTGGATAAGCCTTGTTTGATAAGAGAAAAATGGGACTAGAATGTCATTTTCAATTTCAGCCGAAAGCTGTTGTATTTACAAGGCTGACCTATGCAGAACAATTTCAATCTCGTTTCAGGTCGAGGAAGCAGACTCATTAGTGACTGAACTTGCAAAAGTCACTGCTAAAGAGCGCGCTTTACTTGAACAGTGCATGGATTTTATAACCATGATAGCAGCAATACAGGTAAACACAAATTTCGCATTCTTTCCAATAATCTTTTTGCATCATTTGGATCATTTATTTTCCAACTAAACGTCCTACAGGTTAAAGAAACTAGTCTGAGAACGCATATGTATGCTACAACGTAACTGTGTATCATCAGCCTGACCAAGACCCTTAGAACTGATCATACTTGACCTTCGAATCAAAATGCTAACACTACTCCAAACCATTTTGGCCTACTGGAGGTAGCAATCATGGATGTAAGAATCGACCTGATAACTAGTCTCATATTTTCATACGGTATTTTTTAACACATCAATGCTTCAGTCGTCAGTAATCCAGGTATCCAATGTTACAGGAAATTTTATTTCATTCTCACCAATTAGTTGTACACAGAGTGTCTTTCTTTTTCCTACTTTTTCTGCTTGTGAAGGAAAATGAAAAACTGATGTAAATAATGTAATATCCAAGTGACACTGTTATTAACCAGTTCTTGTTCTAATCTTAGTGCCATCTGATTGTTTTTGACCTCCGGTTGATTCGGGTTAAACCCTTTGACCCTTTTATCTTTTCGCGATCAATGTCCCGAATCCCAACTGAAGTTGAAAAGAACTCACATGATACATGTGTGTATACACACACACATACAGTTCAATAGCCTTAGGATTCATGGGACATTATGCAACTATTACACATGGTAGTCCAGAATTCAAATCTTGGAAATTATCTTTAGTTCGTCTTGTCCCCCCATGCCCACCCCCTATCTTGAGCTGCAACTTGTGCTGTCAGTATAAACAAGACAAAAAAGTCAAACAATTGAATGTGCATTGGAACTATTCTTGTCTGAAATGAACAGGCAGGGTTGCAGTGTTTGTCTCTACTATGCTTAATTGTTTTCTACTCTATGAACCCATTAATTAATCATTACCAAAAAGTCTTTTCTATTCCTTTAAAATTGTTAAATCTATATTCACATAAAAAGTTTTCGGAACTTAAGACGATTTTTGAATATATTTTTTCTATTTTCTAGTTGAATTCAATCTTAGCGTTTTTTGGACAGATTATTTGTAATGAAAAATCTTTTTTGGAGAATGTGTTGTTAACTTAAAAGAACAATTCCCCTGTTTGGTCCTTTTTTTTTTTATATATAAAAAAAGTCTATCTTTCAATGCAAAATTATCAAGTACCCTGTGCACCAAGCATCTGTCTAAAATGTAAGAAAAAATTGAGTTATTTTATTGAAAAAATATGTGGTTGAAAAGGAGTTTGAGGAATAATGATTTTAAACAAGCAGTGCCAAATAAACACTTATCTTGTTATCCATGTAAAATTTCAATGGTTGGTCCACGAATTTATGAATTGCCATTAATATTTCCTTTTTGGTCCTCCATTCCCGCCCCTCCCCCCCTCGAAAAGTGTCCACACTTGAGTGTGAATAAGTAATAAGTAATGGTATTGGGCACTTATTTGTATTCTAGAAAGAGTAATATTATTTATTATTATTGGTGCTAAGCGTTAGCTAATGTGACAATTATATGAAATTAAATGATAGATTCATATAAATATAAAGTTACATGACTCTTTTAGTTGAATCTATAAAGTGTAGTCACTTAAATATGTGTTTCAACACCAATGATTTTAGATAACATTGTTCATAAAGAAATAGGGAAGACGGGGACTCCAACATCTAATTTAATACCAAAAAGAGGCAAAAAACGATTCTTGAAAATTGTTTAGAAATTACCTATAAACAATTTAAATGAGAAGTACTGTAATTAAGATTCCCTAAACAATATTACTTGAGATGATAAGAATCAAATCATTTTAGGAATCATCAATATATCTTCAAGAAAATTCCTAGTTGTTGCATTCTGAACATGTCATACAATCAAAGACTTGTAGTTGTAGGTGAAACTTACACCCGAGAATGCACAAAGAGAACCCAAGTTCGTGACATATACCTACTTCAACTCTCTACACTGCCCATCACTTCAAATCGAAATGTGTAAATAAAATTTTTATAAATATGAATCAAACAGAAATTTAATTATTCTTAAAATTTTCGTGTGCATCTCATACCTATAATTTTATGAAGTTAAGTTTGTACTAAAAAATATCTTTTAACTATATCAATTTAAAAATGATTTAAACGATTTTATGATTGAAAATTAATATTAAAATTGTAATTGTAATTAATTAAAATTGATAACATACTTCCCAATCCATTTACATTAATAGATACGTGCTATAGTAGGTCCCTCCACTGTGCTCTTTGCACGCCTCTTTCACAACGCAAAATTCATGCAATACAATGTGAACTTTATTCTTAATAAAAGAGATTTACTCGATCAACTTTATTCTCTAGTCGATTAAATAGTGTCATTTAAATTAATGTCGCATTATTATTAGATAACATTATTTATTTGATAAAACATTAAAGGCATGTTCCGTAGTGATTATGATAATTGATTTTTTGATTATCAAAGAAAAAAGTGAGACTCACCTGTAAGTGACGAAGTCAAAAATGACGGCTGGAATAATGAAATAACGATTAAAAAATTGATTTTTTAGGATGAAAAATTACTACCAATCGAGCGCTAAATAATAGATTATGACACTCCATTTTTTAATGTTTTTAATTGTACCATAAACTTAAAACCCACTTCACAATAAAAAGGCTTTGATAAGAATATTCGTCAAGATTAATTTAAATATGCATTAATTATGCATATGCCAAGCATTTATCAATTATTGAAGACATTGGTCTATTATTCCAATCATCCATAAGAAATTTTGTCTTGCGAAAAAGAATTATTTCGTGTGCGACAATGACATGAAATGATGCAAAATAATTTATATAGACGACTTCCAATTTATTATGAAAAACGAAAAGGTCGAGCGTTATCACAGAATTCAGACGCAAGGCAACTTTGATTTCTCTCCTTCTAAAAATGTTTTTTCCTCTGAGTACAAAATTGAGAAATCAAGTGCCCAAAAAGAAAAAAAGAAAACCCTAATTGAGCCAAAAAAAAAAAAAAAAAAAAAAAACCAAAAAATTAATTGAGCCAAAAAAAAAAAAAAAAAAAAACCCAAAAATTTAAGCCAAATAAGGAAGAAAATAATGAGAAAAAAACTTTAGAAGAAGAGTCTCAAAAGCTTAGATTCCCGTCCAGGGTGATTTTGCTGCAACTCTTGGTTACACAGAAGACCACTCTCCAACGTCGTCGTTTCAGACTCGTCTGATGGAGACGCCGGCCTCCGTTCCTCAGGCGGCCGATTTTTTCTTCTACCGGCCGTCATTTTCTCCGGAAAACCCCCTGCCAAACCGAGATTTAGGTCACTTGGCCCATCATCAAAACCTTCCCTTTTGACCCTCAAGTTTAGATCTTGCGATTTGTACAAATCAGTGTTATTAGCTTCTGACCCTTCATCAAACTCCGGCGACTGAATCAACCCAGAAAATTTTGGCAACGGCCGTAAAACGCCTCCTCTCAGCACCGTCTCCACCGCCGACTGGCACAAGTGCCAGTTCCCAGTCCACAGTAATCCCACTGCTCCGTTCACTGGATTTACAGTTCTTCCACACGCTTCGAATAACAAAGATTGGAACAATCCTGCAATACAAAAAATCTTAATCAACAAACAATAATTGCACGACTTAGCTTAAACTTTTAGACGATTACCACATTTTAACTTGTGAGATCAGCTACTTACTTCACAAGTAAGAAATACCACACGTGATGGTCTATCCGTAATAACGATATCCGTATCTCGTTATTACTTACGGCCACGGATAATTTAAGATTCAATCAGATGTAATTTGTATCTCACAATCACAAGAACTCCTTGTGATTAACAAATTACAAATATTTAAATCTACGGACTCTATTATTTATTTAATTGTCTATTAATTAAATAATAAATCTGCCATTTAATTGCATTAATTATATATAAAAGTATTCATGTCCAAAGTTGATTGGACCTAGGACGTAATACTTACACTAACTTCATTACAAAATTTAATGATCCCACTACTTCATTGTCTAATAAAATCATGCCTGCTTTTATTTATGAGACATTTGAATGTGTGTCACATTTTTCAATGAATTAAAATGCATCACAACTTCACTAAAAAATATAATGATGATCCCACTACTTTATCGTCCAATAAAATTATAACCGTTTTTATTTATTAGACTGCTTTATTGTCCAATAAGAATCATAACTGTTTTTATTTATTGGACAATATAATAGTGAATTTCGTTATCATCTAAATTGATACGAAGCATTTAGAATGATACATAGCATTAATGGTTTCGAAACACGCTTAGAATTATTGAATCATGCATTTCCAGGAAGCATCTGTTCAAACTTTCAATAGTATTAATAAGGGAAAATTGCAGTCGAGGTACCAAACCTTCATTTTGTATCAGCGAAGGTCCCAAACCTTTCATAAATATGCAGCCGAAGTCCAGATGGATGGAATCCATTCATTTCACCGTTAGTTGACCAATAAAATTGAATTTTGACCAATTTTGACTGAATTAGAAAGGGTAAAATGGCATAATTAGAATTAACATTATTTTTCTATATTATTAACAATTAAATTAAACTAAAAAAAGAAAATAGTCGATCTTCATCTTCTTCCCTGACTGCACCCCCACCTCACCCCAACCATAATCTGAAGCCGTCGACTACCCAACCCCGGCTACCCATCTCCGCCCAAATCTGTCGGCCCCCATCAATTCCACAACCTCCACCACCTCGGCTACCCTCTTATTCACTGCTAAATGGAACCAAAATAAGAAATCGAAATCGATGCGAGCACCACTTCGCCTCGAAATCGAAACCAACACCACCTTTAAACTGGGGTACTTATAGGGAATGCATATCCAAGAGCCCTAGACTATACTCATTTGGCAAAACCTGCTCCTCCCCGTTCCTTCTCTGACTTCCCGGCCGTGAATTTAGTGGTGGCGTCAATGGTTCAGCAAACAAATCGCTTCTTCCACCGTAAGTCCTCTGCGCCTGCACGCTCCTAGACATTCTCGAGTCCTAACCCCCTCCATCATGGTATCCAAAATCCTAATTTTAAAAAATTCAAAAAAAATTCAAAAATCAAAAAAATTTCCTTCTTAGCGTCAGATATTCAGATCTAGCATACATGTGGTCAACAAGAAACGCAGAAAAATAGAACTGCACCTGAAGTAGAGGAACTGCATTGTTAGATGACTGCAGATGCTGAAGACCAGCTGATTGGAGCCATCGGTCGTTTGATGATGATTCTAGAAAATTATCGGAGTACTTCCGTTGGTGGTGCATAGTCGATGATGACCCAGATCTCTGCCTTCCAATAGCATTCATTTTCTCTCTCTAAAATTCACGATCACAATCCGATCCTAACATATTCTTTCTTTCATTTTTTTTTATTTATGGTTTATCTATTTAACTTATTTAATTAATGGGATAATATGCAAGTTACTATTTTGCCATTACTAACATGGTCAAAATTAGAGTCAAAGTCAGTTCTTTGGTCAACTTACGGTGAAATGGATGGATTCCATCCATCTGGACTTCGACTGCATATTTATGAAAGGTTTGGGACATTCGCTGACACAAAATGAAGGTTTGGACAAAGTCTACTAATAAACAAAAGATTTGGTACCGCTGCTGCAATTTCCCTATTAATAAAGAATAGTACTATCGAGCACCATGGGTACTACAACACCAATTTAGATGGTACTAAATGAAATGTGGAAGTAAGTGTTTCATTTAATTATACATCTCATTTAATGTCACACTAATGACATTTAGACTAATGTTTTTGATACCAGCAGTGATAAAAGCATTACTCATTAATAAAACGTTTAGATGACTCGCCAAATATGGGCAAATGTCAAATAACTTGTTGGTTTTCCCAGGTAGTATTTGTTCAAATTTTCGATAGTAGTAAAAAAAAAAGTACTGTCCACAAGAATTATCTCCTAAATACGGGTGCTTAATTTATATTAAACACCACTGATATGATAAATTATTTAATTGGTGAATCATTAAATACACAGGATATACCATTAATTTATTCATCAATTAAATGATGTGTCATGTCACGGTGCTAAGCTAAATATCGGTGCTTAGGAGATCATTTTCAATACTATCCAATACGTGTTACAACACCAATTTAGATGACACTAAATGATAGACCCAATAAAAGATAGAAGTAAGTATTTCATTTAATTAAATATCTCATTTAATGTCACATTAATAACTCATAGACCAGAGTTCTAATCCAGTAGTGAGAAAAGCTTTACTCATTAATAAGACAGTTAGATGACTCGCGAAATACAAACAAGTGTCAAATAACTTGGTGGACTTCCCAAATGGATAAAAGAAATACAAATTCTCATTTTTAGGATTTTAGTTGGATCACGCTGTTGGAGACGGCTTGTCTAAATTAGACAATTCTTTAATTATACGGTTGTAAAGATTAACGAGTAATGTTATTCGTAGTCGTTTACTACGACAATCATTCTACGTGGTTTACATGATAGATGCTTATTTGATACATTAATGTGGTAATTTTTTATTGACTCATGCATTAAATAAACACTTGTCATGTGTATATCATATAGGGTGATTGTCATAAGAAGCAACTGTAAATAACATTATTCAAGATTAACAAGGTAGGATAATCCTACTTGTACATAATTATTGCATATAATGGTGTTCATAATGTGATGTGGCAATCATCCGGTTATTGATGTACAAGTGTGAGATTTGAATTAAAGGTTGGATCCAGTGCCAAGTGTAATTATGAATACTGTTATATAGACAATTATGTACATATAGCACTAGGGATGAACACGATTTGGTTTGGACAGTTTAAGACAAATTTTCAAACCAAACCATTTAAAGTGATTTGAAATTTTTCCAAACCAAACCAAACCAAACCACTTCAATTTCTAAACCAAACCAATTCAAACCATTTTTTTCGGTTTGGTTCGATTTAAAACCACGATTTAACAAAAAAATTTAATATATATCAAATAAGTTAAATCATAATATTATGCTAAAATTTCATATTAAAACATAAATTGTATTATTAAAAAAGTACAAATCAAAGTTATATAATTATAAATATTATAATGCAACAACATGATATAAATATTTTAAACTCTTAGTCGATATTAATGGTGTACATCTGCAAGTGTAATACATGATTCATTTTCTTCATAAATATAAAAGTATAGTATATAAATTCATTGATTATAGTTAAATGATGTAAAATAATTAAAAAAATTTAAATACAATAGTATTTAGCTACTATGACTTTTTGTGAATCATTAAAAGCTTCTACTAAATCTAAATATTGGTGAATTACTTTAAGGAGATCGAAAAACAGACAATTATTAGAACAAAATAATATAATTACCAATAAAAATAATTATCAAAAAAGAAAAGAATTTTGGTATTTTGACTTAAATTTGAGCAAAATTTAAGAAAATTATTAGAAAGAAATGAAATGTGCACGTTTGAATTAAAATCTAGATTTTATTCTCTACTCAATTGTAATGGAGAATCGATAAATGTGATTTAATATCAGTTGTTCAACACTTTACCCAATTTAAAGGTTTTACATTTAGAGTTATGATGACTTATGAATACTTAGACATGATTAATTAATTAATTGAGATGTAAAATTATCGATTTGAGTTTAATTGAATCATGTCTAATATAGATGTATCTTTTAAATTGAAATGTGTTAAATTTTAATTGGGTTAAATAAAATTTAGAATAATTTATTTTTAGATTTTTTTTGGTAAATGGTTTGAAAAGGTTTGCAAAGACTGAAACCCGAACCAAACCTCTTCGAAGTGGTTCGGTTCGGTTCAAAACCAAAACGTTGATAGATCCAAGTGGAATCAAATCAACGATTTTAAGAAAATGGTTTCAATTCGATTTTGCGGTTTGACGGTTTCTTTGTTCAGCCCTATCTAGCACTTCCCATACAAGATAATTGAAAATTTAATGGGTTTTAAAAGTATTCTTAGATGCACCCTAGAGATTTTAATGGTTTACTAAAATTCTTTGAAAATGGGGGGCCTTCTTTCTGAGATTTTAATGAAATCCATGAAAATATAGGTGTCTAAAACAATTCGTGGATTTATACCAATTTTATTAGTAAAGAGATTTCATGAGATTTAGAAGGATTTAGAATTTAAAAATTCACATAACAAACTCTTTTAAAATTACATTTTTCTAATGACAATTTTAAAAATCTATTCAAATTCACGAAATTCATTAACATTAATAATTTGTTAAAAGCTAAATATATTCACGCTACAGTTTTTAATAATTAGACTACATTTTAATTGAATGAAATGCTAGCCCTTGTTGGATCTTCATTCTTTTTAAAATACATTATTTTCTTTTCTTTTCAACCACATATTATTTAATATAATAATATTACACTTAAATCTTAAAAAAAAATCTTATTTTTTAACCACATATTCTCCATTAATTTACTATTCTAAAATCCATTATTAGGAAATAACGGGACTCAAACGGGCCCTTAATAACCATTACATATTATTATATTTATATTTCAAACTTTTTTCGTCACATTCTTATTTTCAAATTAACATAAATTGTTCCTTATTGTAATTTCTCTCCAAATTTTATTTAGGATAGAATAAAAAGACTAATTTATCCATTGTATTTTTAAAGAACCAAAATAAATAATAATACAAAAATGCAATTAAATATTTGATTCTTATTTTAAAGCACATTAATATATTTTTGGATGAAAATCATGATTAAGGGCAAAATTTTCTTATCAATGAAATATTAAAATTAAAGAATGTGATGAAAAAAAATTTAAGGATATAAGTGTGATAATGAATAAATGTTAATGACATTTAACCCTAGCTTGAGCCGCGTTTCCATAATGTATTTTTTTTATAAATCATTTTATACCATATATTTTTTCAATAAAATATTTTACACGTAAATTAAAAAATAATACTTTTTAACCTCATATTTTCCAAAAATTACTATTCCAAAATAATAGAGCTCAAACAAGTACTTATTAATGTACTTAAAAAGTGATGTGCAAAATCCTAATTGAGGACATCACCCTAAATTACTATTGAATTCCCGAGGTAATGTTCATTAAAATATCTCACACAAGTATTTTGCTAGTTCATTTGGACTGTATATATAACATTAAACTATTAAATTTCTGTGTTATAATTAATACTGTAAATATTTTTGAGAAAAAATTTGATTACTAATCTGTTGGTCTCGGGATTAATTTTATTAAAAAACGATTTGCAGAAAAACTGAAAATTGCAAAAAATAAGAATACCAAGAATTTTCGCCTCTTGGGGCATGGATGTTCAGTCAAAGGCCTACTCACCTATTAAGCATATGAGTAGATTAATCTCGAATCCACTAAGAACCATAAAGAATCAATACAAAAATGTAAGAAGAA